TTCTTCTTACTGTGAATTTTCGAATTGTTTTACGGGAAATTTTATTTTTTCTGTTTGATTAGGTGTCTTAGTCCATCCTTGGGACAGGGACTGCATGTATATTGTTTGATCAGTTCTATCCCTGTGCCCACCCTCTCCCTCAAACTGTTCTGCGATCCTCCGGACGAGCCAGCCTTCAGCAACAGTTCCTGATGCCAGCAGGGCCAGCCTCCGAACAGCAGCCACGACGCAGCAAGCGGATCGCCGATCGCCAACAGCAACAGCAACAGCAACCTACAGTTCCGCAACCGCCACAGACCAGTACTCAGATGGCGAACACGCCACACAGCGGATCATCATCCGAGGGTTCGACAGCTAGTAAGGTCTGTCCGGTGCGAGGGGCGAATGAGCCCCTCCCGGACTTCATTCAGAGAATGCAGGACTATACAGCCGCACTCACCTAGGTCAAGGAACAGCAAGAGGTTGCCGCAGCCGAAAGACTACGGCTAGCAGAGGAAGCTGCAGCACAAACCCGGCGTCAAGCCGAGGCAGACCAGTTGGCAATCGATCAGCTCAACGCCGGCAGCTCTGAAGTTGTAAGTGCTAACCAAGCACAATGGACAGCGGTGCTCGACGGGATGCGTTATGTCCCGGCACCCGGCAGCGAGCCGACAACAGTACAGCAAGAGAGGCACGACCTGGCAGATATTCTACTCCATACAATGCGCGCCGTCATTTGGAACAGCTCCATGGGGGAGCTGCATTCCTGGTCCACACTGCAGCTGCAGCACGATCTGAGCCACAACGTGAAGATACTTGCAGCAGCTGTCAAGGTGGCAGACAACCAGTTGAAACAGCTGGATGCACGCATTGCTACCTTGGAGGCAAGGCCTCCCCAAGCAGCGCCAGGCTGCACGCCAGATATGACAGACACAACGAAGCAGCTCAATGGGCGCATCGATCATGTCGTCAATCTCATCGGCGACATAGGTGTTTTCAATGGGCTGAACACGATCAGTAGCACGGTGGCCGCCATCAAGATGGACATCACCAAGCTTCAGACGAAACCAGACGCCACCACGAAGAGTTACAAGATGCCGCACTTCGACATCAGCAAGTTCGATGACCACAACAAGACGGACGCTTTGGCATGGTGGCAACGTTTCCTCACGGAAGCATCCTGCCAGCAGGTCCCGGACGACTATCTGATGAAGGCGTTATACTTACAGCTGATTGGAGGAGCGCAGGCATGGATGAACCATCTGGCGGCTACCCACACATGCACCATCGCCGAACTTCACACGCACATCACGTGGAAGGAGTTCGAGCAGCTATGGTTCACCCGGTTCATGGTCCGCAACGTCGTGAAGGCGGCCATGAACGAGGTGTACACCTGCTCTCAAGGAAGTATGCCAACTCGAGACTAGACAACCAAGTGGCAGAAGATAGTGACCACGCCAGACTTCGATTTGACTTTTCCTAATCAACGATCCGAGTTCTTCTCGCGATCGTGCGTGGGATTGCGGTCGGCACTCGGTAACGAGTACGACTATACCTCGTTCCAGGCTATCCTGGATCGCGCAAACCTGGTCATCCAAACGAACGACAAGGCCGCTAACGAGAAACAATCCCAGACGCATTACGTGGCTAAGCAGGGCTATCAACGTCCGGCACATAACAATGACGTAATTTCTGAAGCAATAGACAATCTCCACGCTGCAGCCGCATCCTCGAGTGATGGAGGAATTGTAGCAGCGCTCCCGCCGAAGCGTCCTAAGAGGGTCCAGAAACCCAAGGCGACACAAGAGACGACATCGACGGGAACTGGGCAGCAGCCATGGACGGCCTACAACATCACCAAGGAAGTCTATGAACTTCGTCAAAAGTATAGATATTGCCTTTGGTGCAATGGAGTCACACACTTGACTGCACAATGCCCCGAAAAGGGCAAGGCACGCGTACTTCGTCCAGCAAACTCGGGAAATTGACTCACGCAAGGAGAGGGGCGACGTCTCTCCTCACTCCACCGGAACCGGTTGCCTTGCTAGCAATCGATGTCACTACCGGGGAGCATGCGTTAGTCGCTGATTCTCGTGCTACGTATGAGGATTATGCCGCCCAGCTGGTACCACCATTAGACCAGCCAAGCCACGTGCATTTAGCTAGCGTATGCGCAACCTGTACACCGTCGGCAAGTGATCCGGTCAGTTCGCCACTGATTTTCGAGGACTCGACGGCTCGACCCGCTCACGAGAGAGGACTTCGCTTGGATGCCTCTACCCTCGACCGGAACCTTGCCAAGACCGCATTGCAACGCCTTGATGGCAGATTTACGCTCCTATTTGCACACTACAGTACTAGCTCCGTTGACGGACGACGGGGTAGCGGTTGTCGATCTCCGCTCCTATCTTGCAAAGATTGACCGCGAGTACGCCACCCAAAGGTACGCCGAAACCGACGCGCCTTTGCTCTATATCCGCATTCAAATCGGAAAGGCAACCTGTAGTGCCTTGATTGATTGCGGAGCGTCTCGCAACTTTATGAGCCAAGCCTTTATGGCCCGCGCAGGTCTTGGCCCGCGCGTTCGAAGGAAGACGCAACCCACGCAAGTTACACTCGCGTTCGGCCGCTCGCAAAAGTCAATTGACCGATGCGTCGACGGCGTTCCGGAATACTTTGCGCCACTTGCGTGCGAGCCGGTGTCTTTTGACATCCTCGACACCAAGTTCGACATGATTCTAGGCATGTCTTGGTTGCGTAGCGCCGATCATCCGRTGAACTTCCATGACCGAAYCGTTCACATCCGTGATCGGAACGGAGTGTTAGTCCCATGTACGGTCGTGACCCCTCACACTTCGATTGCTTGTCACGTGGTTTCCGTTGCGAGAATTCGTGCCGCCATTGCTCGGAATGACGTCGAGGAGATGGGCCTTGTATTCTTGCATGCTCTCCCCTCGCCGGACGGACCAGCCGAGCCACCGCCAGACCCACGCATCACTCACCTCTTGGACGAGTATGGAGACGTCTTCGAGGCTCCCACCGAAACGGTTCCGGATCGGCCTATACGTCACGGGATCACTCTCGAGGCTGGTGCCATCCCTCCGCGTGGATGTATCTACCGCATGAGCGAAGAGGAACTCGAGGTGATTCGCGCACAACTCGATGACCTTCTCGACAAGGGCTGGATTCGCCCTAGTTGCTCGCCATACGGTGCCCCTGTTCTCTTCGTCCGGAAGAAGAACAAAGATCTACGGCTATGCATCGATTATCGGAAACTTAACGCACAAACCGTAAAGAACGTCGGCCCTCTCCCTCGGATCGATGATCTTCTTGAGCGGTTGGGCGGCACGACGTACTTCTCGAAGTTGGACTTGAAGTCAGGTTACCACCAGATTGAAATCCAGCCTCAAGACCGCTACAAGACCGCGTTCAAGACGCGGTACGGGCATTTTGAGTGGATTGTCATGCCTTTTGGCCTCACCAATGCCCCCGCGACTTTCCAAGCAGTGATGACGACTGAGTTTCGTGACTTGCTCGATCGCAGCGTCCTCATCTACCTTGATGACATCTTGGGTTACAGTAGGACGTTGGACGAGCACATCGTACACCTTCATGTTGTTCTGRATCGTTTGCGACTAGCCAAGTACAAAGCAAACCTCGACAAGTGCGAATTCGCCAAGCAAGAGCTTGAGTACTTGGGTCATTTTGTCACGCCGAAAGGCATTCGTCCCTTAGCGGACAAGATTTAAGCCATCGTGGATTGGCCGGAACCCCGTTGCACGACGGATGTACACTCTTTCATGGGTTTGGCTAGATATTATCAGCGATTCGTCGAGTCATACTCGAAAGTGGCCGCTCCTTTGTTGAGACTTCAGTCCCCGAAGGTGCCCTTCGAGTTCGACGACGCAGCCCGTGGCGCGTTCACTACGTTGAAGGCAGCGATGCAAGCCGCACCTGCCCTCCGTATATACGACCCCACCCTACCCACCCAAGTGACTACGGACGCTTCGGGATACGGTATTGGCGCGGTGTTGGAACAGTGTCACGAGGACGGTTGGCATCCGGTCGAGTACTTCTCCCAAAAGGTGCCTCTCATAAACACTCTCGACGACGCTAGGAAGAAAGAGCTACTCGCGTTCGTCACCGTTCTCAAACGGTGGCGCCACTTTCTTCTCGGCCGTCGGCGTTTTAAATGGAATACGGACAACAATCCGTTGACCTTTTACAAAACGCAGGAGACGGTCACTAGCACGATCGGTCGATGGATGTATTACATCGACCAGTTCGACTGCGACCCGTGCCAGATTCCCAGTCCCGCCAATCGAGCTGCGGACGCCCTATCACGACGGCCCGACTTTTGTGCCATTGTGACCACGGCATTCGACCTCGATGACGATCTGCAGCCACATTTCGTCAAAGGCTACAAGTCCGATCCGACTTACTCTAMGCTTTACGCGGAGCTTTCATCGGATCACCYGCCGGCTAGCCACTATCGGATTTCCGACGGGTTCCTTCTCCTTCACACGAGAGGAAAGGACTTGTTAGTTGTGCCCCAAGATCGCATCTTACGGACTCATCTTCTCGGCGAATTCCACGACGCACGACTTTCGGCACACCTTGGCGGGAACCGCACACTAGCACGCCTCCGCCAGCGTTTTCACTGGCCCGAAGTCCTTCATGACGTCACGAGGTACATTGAGTCATGTGCAGTTTGCCACCGTAACAAGGGTCGATCTCGAGTCCCCTTCGGCGAACTGAAACCGTTGTCGATTCCTCGGGCACCACGCCTTTCCATTGCTATGGACGTGACAAGCCCGTTTCCCCGCGATCGCCACGACCATGACGGTATTCTCACGGTCGTTGACCGTTTGAGCAAGTATGCTCGCTTCCTTCCTTGCAAGTATCATGCTGCAGCACCCGAGCACGCACGACTCTTGCACACCGATTGGATTACCAACCAGGGTGTTCCAGACGACATAGTGAGCGACCGAGATACTCGCTTCATGTCGGCCTTTTGGACTTCCCTCATGGCTGAGTCCAGTACGACAATGAAGTCGAGCTCGACTCGGCACCCGCAGACGGATGGCCAGACGGAGCGAGCGCACCAGACCGCTCAGATGATGTTGCGTACGCTCATCCGTCCCGACCAGAAAGATTGGGTTGACCGGCTTCCCGACATCGAGTTCGCCTATAACACTTCGGTGCACCCGGCGATCTGTGTCACACCATTCGAGTTACATCATGGTGGAGAGAAAGCACGGATCTTCGCTGATCTTCTTTTGCCACAAGCTGCCGACATAGACGTCCCTTGCTCTCCCGCTTCCGTTCGGAAGTACCGGGACTCGCTGATCAAAGCCCGCGCAAATATGCAAAAGGCTCAGATCCGCATGCAGCAGCAGGCTAACCGACGTCGACTTCCATGTCCTTTCAGCGAGGGAGACCTTGTTTGGGTCCTCTCCGAGGAATTTGCGCTCGAGCAGGACGTTTCGCGCAAACTCTTTCCGAAATGGTTCGGACCATGGGAAGTCACTTCTGCCGTTGGAGACGACCCCGCAGGTCCTTCCTTCGTGATCAATATTCCACCGCACCTTCCAGTGCATCGGGTCTTCCACACGTCGAAGCTGGCCATCTACACGCCACCTTCAGCTGACGAGTTTCCCGGACATCAATCACAGGATCCGCCTTCTATGGACGGACATCAGGAAGTTGACCGAGTCATCACGCACCGCAAGTATGGCAACAAGCCAATGCAGTTCAAGGTCACATTCAAGCAATGTACGCCTGATGACACTCGATGGATCTCCAGTACAGATTTGCAGACTTCTGCACCCCTTATCTTCGCCGACTATGAGAAGCGACGCCTTGCTAAGGAAGCAGCTCGTCCCACCCGACCCACCCTGGTATCGGACAGACAACTTCGCCCTCGCAGGTAGCTTGGTCTTTTAAGAGGGGGAGTGTGTTACATCTTCGACACCACACGGGTCCTACCGGACCCGACATTGGGGTAGAGGGACACAGTAGGGCCAAAGGCCCGACCTTGGGGGCACTACAGGCCGTAAAGGCCTTACCTTGGACCAGACCCAACGGGCCGGCCCAAACGATATTACCGTTTGGGCCTGGCGGCGCTCTTGAGGCTGCCGCCCGCCGGTTGGGGCTGAACCGTCCATCTGGACGGTTCAGGGCACGGTCAGGCCTCGCAGCATAGAGGCCGACCTCTGCCCACCGGTACAAAAGTACCGGTCCAGCCTCA